TCATCATCATCATCATCATCATCATCATCATCATCATCATCATCATCATCATCATCATCATCATCATCATTATTATTATTATTATTATTATTATTATTATTATTATTATTATTATTATTGTATCCTTCCCTGTCTCTTTGTCTTGTGCTTTGTGTGTTGTATTGGTATACCAAAAAGGTTTTATACAGACACATTATTAAAATATATTTCGTTACATGTTTATTTAATTATATTTTAATATTTTCTTATTTCTTCCTTCACGTCTAACAAGAGACAACAATACAGCTGTGTAAAGTTCCAAAAGCAAGTAACTCGGCAATTATCGGAATGGATTTATTATTCATAAACTTCGACTCTGTCTTAGTATCCAGGATGAATGATTTCTATTTCTAAATCCATAAGACAACGATTGATATATCGGGCTTAGAAATTACTCATCACATGCATTAAAGAGTTACGACTAAAATTTAAAATGTATGACATTAATTACTGTTTCAGGGTGCATTCTATCTTAAAATCGATGTGTGGGACGGCGATGGCAATCCAGCCGATCTTGTTGACAAATATCGTAAAACCATTACACAACCAGCCGATGGTGTTTGGAGAAGGTACTACCTTTATGGTCAAAGGACCGCAGCGCATTACACAACGTAAGTTAAACATGGTTGTTTGTTTCTTTGATATATTTTTTGCGGGTTTTTGGAGGGCTCAGTGATAAGCAGTGTTTACACCAATTCAGTTTATATTATTATTAACATTATAAACATTTAAGTTTATTAGTTAAATACTTTCAAAATATGTTATACTTTCCGTAGCATAAAGTAAATGATAATATAGTGATAATTAGTACCATTTATAACACACCTAAATAGATCCTTGTCAATTGATTGGTGGATTTCGTATCACGTGACACTGCCTATTTACTCCAATTCGTGCGTTTTTCGTTCCATCTGTTTTGCTCCAATGCACGGTGCCTAGGATGCGATATGACTTCAAATTAATACAATCATTTGATTGGTTAAAAGACGCTGGACTGTTCCATTTAGAAAAAGGGTAGATGTTTCATAAAATATCAAATGACAAGAATCCCATTCAAAAATAAAAGATATATTTTTTCAAGATAAAATATCAAATGACAAGAATCTATATTAGATGTGTTATAAAACAAAATGTTTTTTATTCGCGCAATGGAAAGAATATTTTTATTTGTTGAAAGATTGACTATTCCATTCAACTTGGCTCCGCTTCGTCGAATGGAACAGTCGATCTTTCAACTCAGGCAGGGGCGGATTCAGAATTTTTCAAACATGGATGGGGGTGGGGGGCGAAAGGGCACAATATTTTCAGAATCATATAAGTGAGTATATGCTTATTTCAATACATAGCAAATTGATATGCATTAAAATTTGAAAATTTAGTGGCAAAATGGAGGAGGGGGTGCCCTGTGTCCCCACTTCTGGATCTGCACCTGTCATGAAACCATAACGACCTATGGGATATATGCGCAGATCTAACCC